AATATGCTTTCATTATGTAAGAATTCAAAATTTTGGCTTCTATCAAATCTAAAGACTCAACTTTAAAGATTAGGCTCGCGGGATTGACAACCAATTATAAAAGTCCTGTGTACATATATCTAGTTCCAGGCAATGAATCTATATCATTTCAACTTAACAGTCCTCCTTCTGAAGTTTAATTCAAAATTTATCCTTTTGTAGGTGAATCTTTAGATTACTTTAACTATTCAATCCAAAACCTACAACCTGGAAACAATTTTAGCATTTATTACTATTTTGAGATTTATATTCTCTAAATTGATGTAATTCAATAATCCATCGATTATGGTATTCCTTTGGTGATTAATTCTCAAGAATTGACAGGTTCCTTTTAACTTCCAAATGGAATTGTTGATGATGCGATATCCATTCTATGTTAAATTGAATCCTCAAAAGGATCAAAGTCGTATTTAGTATAGTATATTCAAGTCAATAGAAAAAATTATCAGATAAATAAATTATATTAAGCCTTCAATAATCAAACTAATTTTTCAAATTTGCAAAGTATTCACACTATGACTAAACTAATGGAAATTGAATAATAATAGGTTTGCTTGAAACAATGTTCAGGCGTTGGTACATGCTTTGATAAAAAGTGCAAATGTCCTCCAGAATATTATTTTGACGACTGCAGTGGAACCCTATAGGAACATAATAATTTCAGCAACCTTATTTTAAATGCTTTACAATAATTAATTAAAATTCCAATAACAAATGATGATGAGTTTAGATTATTTAGTTAATCTTTATTGTACTTATCCACTCTAATTGATTTAAATAATACAATTACAAATTTAGATTGCTAATAAATTTTAGAACAATACATTTAAAATCTTAATTCAAGATTATAAAAAATCAATCAATACTCAATTAATCTTCAATATCAGTCAACCACTTATCTTAATTACTCTCAAATTGATATAAGATCATTTAAAAATTAGAATGATTTGCACACAGCCTTAAAGAGCACAGTAATTATGTGGGCCATAACTTTATTTACTTAAGACTCTGCTGTCTATTAATTGCAAAGTCGCTTAAAAGACTTTTTGTCAGCCATAATAGAACTGTCTCTATTTGGTATTGAACTCAACGAATCTATTGATTACTCCTTTGATATAGCCTTTTTAAAAATTTAAAGAGTTAGTAATATATCTAATATCACAAAGGAAAGAATATTAGTTGAAACCACTGGAAATCATTTCAGTGATTCAGAATACTATGACGTTGTTTAAGCTATATATATTCGAAATTATTTCTCTTTTGATGGTTACTATCCCTATCCTTTATAATTATATCCTCTTTACGATTACTAAATACGTCAATAAAATAGAAAATAAAATATTTTATTATCGACATACATCTCATACAAATTTAAAGCACTTAATGATACTACAAATTTGGTTTGCTTAATGAGAAATTCTTAGACATATGAATGGTCAAATCATAATTGCACACTTCATGAATTGAATACATCCTATTTTTGTAATTGTACAACACTTGCGCCAACAACTATTTGTAATGATTATGACTACCTTTATTTAAGATCTCCTTAGTTCTAATTAAAAATTCCCAATCTGTTATATATTATTTACTTTGCATAACTAATCATATTAGGGATATTTTTCATTTAGGCAGGGAAGTCTCAGCGTGATAAATCTATAGATAATAATAAATTTGGCTAAGTTATGAAATTGGCAAAAAGGAGCAAAGCAGCAATTTAAGGAAATAAAATAATTCCTATTGAGGACGAAGTAAGAGAAATGCAATTAAAGCATAGATTGAGATAAACAACTTAATTAATTATATCAGATCCACTAGCATCAATCTCATTTGTGAAGACGATCAAAACAACTCATAAATAGGGTATTAATTGTATGGTCCAATTTGATGATGATTTTATTGCTACTGGTTCAAATGATAGGACAGTCAAAATATATAGATATAGAGTTTATGAACTATTTAAGGAAATACAATTTAAGAGTGATGTGACATCCTTGGCTGTTTAAGTAAGAAAGGACTTTAGATTAAATTCTCAAAAGTTAGTTAAGTACATTTTTTATTTAACAAAACTTTCTTCAAATTGTTAAATTATTCAAAAAATATATGGGGAGGGCTTTTGTCTTTACTCTAAGGCAACCTCGCTTTTTGATAATTTTATATTTTAACCAATTCATTCATCTAAGAAAATATATAATATTACTTTTATTAAAGCATAAAGAATAGCATTTGTGCAATTTGCAATTCAACAAATGGTTTTTTAAGTAATGGATAGAAGTTCGAATCATCTAACAAAACTAAAAGAATAAATGAAGGCTAGGATCAGTTGATGACATTATTTATCAAGATTAGAGTAAATGATGAAAGAGGAAGAATGAAGGAATGGGATATTTAGATAATATGAGTTATAAAGAAGGAGAGAATACTTAAAATTAGTATAACGAGAAGTCAAAAGCAATAGTGGATGGTTACTATATATGTTTATTGTATTTTTATCAATCTACCATTGATTAGTTATGAATAATTGATGATAGTGCATCTAGATTGGGTATTACAATTAAGTAACTACGTAACTGTCAGCTAAGAGTCTACTCATTATGTTGTCTTGACAGCAAGAATGTTCATTAATTTAATTAATGATGAGGGTTGATTTCAATATTTAATTATGCTTAAGGCTATTGGAAAAATAACTATGTATTCCAATAAGACAAAAATATAACATTCTTGAATTATTCAAAAATAAATAATAAAATTATAATGAATTACTTTTTATGAATATTAAAGTATTGATCCTGGCCTTATTGGTTGCTCTTATAACAAGCTAATAGTATAGTATTTCTTAATGTGATTGTTCCTAATTGTTATCAGAAGATGATTGCTCAAAAAATGATATGATCAAATGTTAATGGGATAGCACAAAGAAGACATGTAAAAATTAGGATACAACAACTAATCCAGTTATAAACTATGCAAAATATTGTGATAATTTTAAAGAAATGGAATGGTCCAAAACAAAAACCATGTAGCAATTGTGGATCTTACTC